TTGATACATGTGTCGCAGAAGACTTTTTTGAACTCGATTTAATTACGAATTTTGATACAAAACCAGTCCAAATCACCTCCAATCTTCCTCAAATTTTGTGTATTGACTTATCTATATATTTTGAATGAATTTCAACTATACCCATTGAAAAAGTTCCTTTTTTGTTTAGATTTTTGAAATATTGTTTAGATTTTGTATTTCATCACCTTATTTGCTACCCCGTCCATGAAATTTCCTTTCCGTCTTGTATCTAATGTTGCTAATCTCGCTTAAAAATATGGAAGCTGATTTTTGCATGTGATTCTTTGAGAGAGAACCCTATTATTTGGTTTTCAATTTTTGTTGGCTAGTTTTGGTAAGTCTATGACTAATGGCTAGAGATTGGTAAGTTGAGATTTATTTGGGACATTTGTGTAAGTTTCCCATTTAAAAAGTAGAGAGCCCGGTTGTTCTCACGTGAATTTTCCCTTTTTTTTTTCCTACCGGTTCCCACAGGATATCCTTAGATTAAAAAGCCTTTAATTTGCATAAGATAAAGCTCAAAAACATTAACTAAAAAGGTCAATAATGATTCAGAAAATTAAATTACTAGTAATGAGTGTGGTTTGACGGTAGTCATTCCCTAAGAAAATGTTTCTCATGAGAAGTCATTTTTTGGTGCTTTGTTATCAACAAAAATATTTTCCAACAAAAAGGGGGAAATGACTTCCATCACTTATGCGCGAACGTCTTTTTTTACAACTACCTTAATTTCTAATTTTATATTACTTGTTCCAACTAATACATTTAGATATTTAATATTTATTACTCAAAATTTTCATCAAAATCATTCAGGAAAAATACCTGCAAATAACTTGCTACATCGATAAAACATATCATTCAGGAAAAGTAATAAACCACAAGCAAAGTGTACTGAACAAAGATACAGAAAAAGAAGGACCGGAGATGATGTTCGACAAAATAAGATAAATGCATTTATGGAGGGCAAAAACTAATAGCGACATGTTCAATAAAGGAAATATCAAAAAGAATATCGATTGAATTTTCACAATCTATTGAGAATAGGCACTTAATTTAATATGTTTCATGTATTTGTATTGTATTATATACAGGGGAGGTAGAGTTGATAGTTACCATAGTAGTTAATTACACAGTTATAATAGTTAGCTGAGTTGGAGTAGTTAGCTGTCCCACGTGTGTGCACATGTACATATATACATACACATTTCTTTTACAGTGATAATAAGAAAAAAAGATTTTTCATTTCCATCTTCTGTCTTTACTCTCTCTCTCTCTCTCTCTCTGTTTCTCAGAAGCCCCTAGAACCTCCATTGGAGGTCCTGCATGAGCTTGGTTTTCTCAGTCCCAAGCCAATCTCGATATGGTATCAGAGCACGGTTGACCGTATCTACTCGAAGTCTGCCGGAGTTCTTCCTTCAGTATCCCAAAATTCCTCTTCTCTCTTTTCCGATTTCTAGGGTTTCTCAATCCCTCGATCCTTGCTGAAATCTTCATACAAATCGAAGTTCCTCAGTGAAATCGATCCTTCTGCTCACAAAATTGATCAATACATCGACTAATTTCATCAATCAGAACTTCTCAAATGGCCATAAATCAAAGCGAAGAAACAACATCTGATGCGACCAGAAATGACCAGACGGTCATCGATGCAAGCAGTCATCTGTATATTCATCCATCGTACAGTCCTGGAGCGATGTTAGTACCGGTTCCTTTCGACGGAATTGGATATAGATCTTAGAGAAGAAGTGTATTACGAGCTTTATCGGTTAAAAACAAACTAGGGTTTATTAATGGGGAATGTAGGAAACCTAGCCCTAATTCATCTCAATTTCGCCGATGGGAAAGATGTGACGATTTGGTGACCTCCTAGATTCTCAATTCCCTTGCAAAGGAGATTTCTGATAACTTTGAGTATGTAAATGACTCTGTTGAGTTATGGAGGGAGCTGGAAGACCGATACGATCAAACAAATGGAGTGAAGTTATATCATATCCAAAAGGAGATCAACGACCTTGTTCAGGGATCATTGGATATTACTGCCTACTATACACGAATGAAGAGACTGTGGGAAGAATTAAGCACTCTGAGTGCTAAATCTCAGTGCAGTTGCATTTGCACATGTGGATCAAAAGAGACAATGCACAAGGCAGAACAAGATCGACGCCTTATTCAATTTTTGATGGGTTTAAATGAGGTCTATACAATAGTGAGAGGAAGTATCTTGATGATGAATCCCCTACCATCTTTGGCACAAGCCTTTTCCCTCCTAATACAGGAAGAGAAACAAAGGGAGTTCAGGCCAAGTAGTCAACTGAACCTAGAATCTACTTCATTACATGTGAATGCTACACCTACACAGCACCAAAGCCCATTTGGAGCTAGAAATTTCAGGACACATTATACTCCAAACAACAGATGCCGCCCATTTTGTGACTATTGCAAGAGACCGGGTCATACAAAGGAAAAGTGTTACAAGTTACATGGCTATCCCCAAGGAAATTCATATAACAATTAGAATCCTAATCGAGGCAACACTCAGCAGTTCAATCAAAATAATAATTCAAACCAGGCACAGGGTCACAGATTCAACAGAGGAAAATGAGTTGTGGCAAATGTACATGGAGTCCCAGTTTATGTGTTTCATGAGAGGGAAGATGATTCAGTAACACATGAAGAGGATCAAAATGTCGACCTAACAAAGGAACAGTATGGGCAGATAATGAATCTTCTACAGCATTTTCAGACAAGCAACATAGGAAGATCATCTAACTGTGCCAACTTCGCAGGTATTGTGGTGCACTTCTTCTATTGATTTTGACAAACCATCATGCAAATGCTTTGAATCAAAGTCTGACCTTTGATCTAGACTCAGGAGCATCTAACCATATGACCTTTAATAGAAAAGCACTTAGTAATATCACTACTCTACTATATCCCTTATTAATCAGCCTACCAAATGGATATAGGGTGAAGGTACTTGAATTTGGAGATGTGATACTTAGTCCTTATATCATCCTACACAAAGTCCTCTATGTCCCTTCTTTCAAATATAACCTAATATATGTCCATTCTCTTGCAGAATATCTTAAATGTATTGTACTTTTCACTAATGCACTATGTATGTTACAGGCCCCTTTAGTGAAGAGGCCTCAGGTGATTGGTAGTAGCAGGGAGGGGCTGTACTATTTGTGTTCCAGATGTCTAAAGGGTAAAAGCACTTTCTCCAATCTTGATGTATCTGGTTCTTGTTGTAACTGTTTTTCCGCTACTAGTGTAAATAGTGAAGACTTCAGAAGTCCCACTCATTGATATCATCTTTCATCAAATGTAAATACATCCCACTCACAATAATAAAAATGAGTCCTCAGTTGTGTTTGATAAGTATGATGTAAATCTCTTGTGGCACAATAGGCTTGATCATGTTCCCTTTGTCAAAATGAAAGGAATGTCTTCCATACCTGTATCCTTTTCACCCAGACAACCATTCATTTGTTCAATATTTCCCATGGCTAGACAGGCCAGACTTCTTTTTCCACAAAGAACCAATGTCTCTACCAAAACATTTGAGTTAATACATGTTGACATAGGGGTCCCTACCATGTCAACACTTATGATAATTACAAATATTTCCTCACATTAGTGGATGATTTCAGTAGGTCCACTTGGACACACTTGCTAAGTTGCAAGAGTAATGCTCTCCAAACCCTTAAGGCCTTTATAGCCATGATTGAAAATCAATTTAACACATCTGTTAAGACCATCAGATCAGATAATGGACTGGAATTTACCAGTCATGAAGCTACCACTTTCTACCAATCCAAAAGGATCATTCATCAGAAAACCTGCCCTTACACATTACAACAAAATGGGATAGTGGAAAGAAAACACAAATACCTCTTGGAAACAGCTAGGGCACTCATGTTTCAATCCAAATTACCAACCAAATATTGGGGTGAATGTATCTTGACAGCCACCTATCTAATTAACAGATTGCCTACCACCTACCTAAATAACAAATGCCCTTTTGAACTTTTGTACAATAAGAAAGCCAACTACTCTCATTTAAGAAGCTTTGGTTGCCTTTGTTACCCTACTACACCTAAGGTGCATAGGTTCAAATTTGAGCCCAGAACAACTCCTCATGTGTTCATAGGATATCCTTTTGGGACAAAGGGGTACAAAGTACTAAGCCTAGCCACTAAGAAAATTCACATATCTAGAGATGTCATATTTCATGAAAATATTTTCCCTTTTACTTTGAGTTCCAAGAATGTTTCCCCATATAGCATGTTTAAGTCAGTCACATTTCCTTCATGTGTTGAGAGTGAAAATCTCCTTCCTGATAGTCAAGACATTGTAGATATCACATCTCCAGGTTTATATCAACATCCTGAATTCTCTCCTGTAAATGATGTTCCAACACCACCTAATAATTCTTCATCCCAGAACTCTGTTCCTGCATCCTCTTATGAGGCTGTTGATCTTAATTCATCCATGTCCCCTCAATTGTATGTAGCCACAATCAGAAAGTCCACCAGAACACACAAAACTCCTAGTTACCTTAAAGACTATGTCTACACCCTTCCTAGCAGAACCCAAGCTACCACTTCTCAATGTTCACCTTCCTTGAATGCATTATTCTCAAATCACAATCACATCAGCACTGATGCTCTATATTCTGAAAGTCATCACCTAGTGACAAGTGTTTGTCATGATATTGAGCCATCTTCATATGAAGAGACAACACTTAGTCCTGCATGGCAGGCAGCCATGACGCAAGAATTCGAAGCTCTTCATGCCAATCATACTTGGGATCTAGTTCCCCTACCTGCTGAAAAACAAGCTATAGGTTGTAAATAGGTTTATAAGGTTAAGCATAAGGCAGATGGAACTATTGGAAGATTTAAGGCTAGAGTAATACTAAAAGGCTATACCCAACAAGCAGGGATTGATTACACGGAAATATTTTTATTGTCAAAATGACAACAGTTAGAGCCTTAATTACTGTAGCAGTGAAGAAAGGCTGGGATATTTTCCAACTTGATGTGAACAATGCTTTCCTCCATGGTGATTTGTATGAGGAGGTGTATATGGAGGTGCCACCAGATCTCTTGATTGATCATTCCAATTCACACAAGATGGTTTGCAAACTGAACAAATCCCTTATGGATTGAAGCAAGCCAGCAGGCAGTGGTATGCCAAACTAACTGAGGCTCTATCATCCATGAGATATCATCATTCTGAGAATGACTATTTACTATTCTCCAAAAAGACTTCATCCTCCACCATCTTTGTGGCAGTGTATGTTGATGATGTGATAGTCACTGGCACTGATTCAGCAGAGATAGCTAACCTGAAGGCTTTTCTTGACAAACAATTCAGAATCAAAGACTTAGGCAAGCTTCACTACTTCTTGGGCTTAGAAGTCCTTTACAAATCAGATGGAGTTCTTGTCTCTCAAAGAAAATTTGCTTTAGACCTGCTCAAGGAATATGACTGCTTTGCATACAACAATTTGTCTTCTCCACTTGATCCTTCACTAAAACTAAAGGCCAATGAAGGAACCTTGTTGCCAGATACTACTTATTATAGAAAACTAATAGGAAAGATGAACTTTCTAACTAACACAAGACTTGACATAACATATAGTGTGCAACTTCTCAGTCAGTTTATGCAAGCACCTAGAGACACACACTTGACTGCAGCTTTCCACCTCTTCAGATATCTTATGAAGGATCCCACACTAGGAATATTTTTCTCCAACAGTGCTGACTGCTCAATATACGCTTATTGTGACTCTGATTGGGCATCATGCCCTGATTCCAGAAGATCTATTACTGGATATATTGTGCTAGTAGGAGACAGTCCTATTAGCTGGAAGTCCAAGAAACAGGAGACCAATCTCCTTATCATCAGTTGAAGCTGAATATAGGTCTCTCAGAAAAGTTGTTGGAGAACTGGTGTGGCTGAACAGGTTATTTGAGGAGCTCATTATCCCACAATGCAGTCCTTTTACTGTCTTCTGTGACAGCCAGTCAGCTATTCACATTGCTCACAACCCTGTGTTCCATGAAAGGACCAAACACATTGAGGTGGATTGCCATTTTGTCAGAACCAAGCTCCAGGAAGGTCTCATTTCTCTTCATCATGTAGCCACCAATGACTAGTTGGCAACATCCTCACTAAAGCTCTTACAGGTGTTACACATGTTATTGTACTTGGCAAGTTGGCTGTGAGATCCTCCCATCCAACTTGGGGGGGGGGGGGGGGGTATTAAGAATAGGCACTTAATTTAATGTGTTTCATGTACTTGTATTATATACAAGGTAGGTAGAGTTGATAGTTAGCATAATAGTTAATTACACAGTTAAAATAGTTAGCTGAGTTGGAGTAGTTAGCTATCCCACGTGTGTGCACATGTACATATATACTCTTTTACAGTGATAATAAGAAAAACAGATTTTTCATTTCCATCTTCTACCTTTACTCTCTCTGTTTCTCAGAAGTCTCTAGAACCTCCATTGGAGGTCCTGCATGAGCTTGGTTTTCTCAGTCCCAAGCTAATCTCGATACAATCGACGACTTCATTCCATCCATTGATATTTATAAAGATGAGATGGAGACCATAAAGAAGGGACTCGGGGATAAATGTACTTGATGGATTGACGGGGTTGACAACATGACAAGCTTCAGGGTGGGTACAGTTTTCTTTAAGAGTACTCTCCATTCAGTCTGAGGCCTATATGCATTACCGGTTATGGTGTTTGGCAACCCAACAGAGCCGCCCAAGTATTGTGGTGGTCTATTAGAATCACCAGGTATGGTGTTTGGCAAGCCCTTAGAGCTTTCCATGTATGGTGCAGGCCTATAAGCATTACCAGTTATGGTGATTGGCAACCCTACAGAGCCTTCCAAGTATGGGGGTGGCATATTAGAATCACCAGGTATGGTGTTTGGCAACCCCGCAGAGCCTTCACCAGGTATGGTGTTTGGCAACCCTGCAGAGCTTTCCATGTATAGTCCAGGCCTATAAGTATCACCAGCTATGATGTTTGGCCCTTCCAAGTAGGGTGATGGCCTATAAGCATATCTGTGGGAGGGCAGTCTGTCATACACAGTTGCATCACCACGCGATCCATATAACTGACCAGCATGACTTTCTAACTGCTCGGGTGGACTATCAACTCAACTCCCTCCAAGACTTCCAGCATATGAGCCTCCTAGCGGAACATCCATGCCTGCATGAATACCATCAGCACTTGCTAATATACCTGCTCCAGGTCCACCCATGGCCACACCTGAGCTAATAACATTTTCACGTAGTGAGCTTGCAACAGGTCCATGCAATTCCAAAGGGGACATAGAATAACCATAATTGTGGCCAGCAGTTCCACCACCTTCTAACAAGGTGTTGTTGCTATTGACATGATTAACAACTCTTTGATGTTGTGGCGGCCATGGATTGGAAAATGTGAGCGTTTCACTTCTTTGTTGCTCAACCACTCAGTTTCATCAATTTTTCTCTTATGCAATTCAGCAAATTGTTGTGCTATCTTCTGTTCAGCTACTGCTTATGCTTATCGAATTCAGCAATTTCTCTCTCCAAGCTCATTATTTTCATATTGATTTGCCACCGAGGAAGAAGTTTTGAAGGATCAATCTTGTGAGAATCCAAACATTTGATGACTGAATTCAAATTAGATAAATACTTCCTTTTTACTCCAATATTAGCATCAAGTGAACCTTGTGATCGTTTCATTTCGTCAAATGAATCTTTAGACTCTCTTAAAAATGATGTCAAAAGTTTCTCAGGATTAAATTTGTCCTGAATTCCAACACTATAGACAATATGAACAGCGTCAACAACTCTCTTGTTCTTCACCATTTCCTCTATTATATCCGGAAACTTTGCCATGAGAACATGTGAATTCCTAAGGGCAACAGAAATCAACTTGAGGTTACTTACCTGAAGTAAATTTATGATATTCGCATTTGTAAATCTATGTGGAACCCCGTAACCACCAATAAGCAACAGCAAACCACGGGCATCAATTTCCTAAGCCTGAAGTACACCTCCTTCAGAATTCAACCTCTTCAACCAGGCTAAAGCTGCTTGCTCTGCCTCTTCCTTCACCCATTTATCAATCCCCAATCCCATTCCCATCAGCAACTCCAAAAGCAATACTTTAGCCATGCTTCCCCGGATCAAAGGTAAGTCATTAATATACCCCTTGCTCCCTTGAATATAAAACTTACCGATAGATTCCAATACAAGCCTCGCAGGTTTGGGCGAACGTTTTAGTGCCTTAGGGACTTGTGCACGCAATCCGTGAATGTCTGAGAGATGTGTTAGCATGTACTTCCGCAGACCATGACTGTTCATAGTTTCGCAAAAACTTTCCAGGTCTGAACGAGACGATTTCACCTCTGAACGAGGAGATTTCACCTCCTCTTCTTCTTCCTCCTCTTCCTCTTCCTCTTCCTCGTCTTCTTCTTCTTCTCCTTCTTCTTCAGAGGAGTCAGATTCCGATGCAGCTGCTGTCGCTGATGATGGAGCGAGTAAAGGAGTGGTTTTAGTTGTCTGAGGAGGTAGCAGCACGGAATCGATTGAGGTTCGAATCGAATCAATGTGTCGTTGTAGCTCACTGAAGCAATGTTGGAAAGCGGAGAGGGAGTCGGAGATATTGCGAAGATTGGCGATGATCGATTCCGATTGTTGCAATCTTCCGATTGTTTCTGCTGCGACACCAATTTGTTGTCGAATGGTGGCTGCGACACTGGCGTCGCTGCGCCGGAATCCGCCGGTTAATCCATCGTATTATTCATCATATTCACATTTTTTCCTAATAATGGAATCGTAACTCAACATGTCACACAGTCACAGTATGACTTAACAGTCATTTTTCCTTTGCAAACCCAAAATTGGATAATCTAGCGTTTGGGCTCCCATCATACGGTGGACCTCGTGAAATTCAAAAATAGGCATATTTATAAGAATAATTAAAAAATGACCTTAATTTTAAAAGTAATAGAAATTTAGTCACTTTTTATATAAACATAAATCTAAATAAAAATACTGTTCAAAATCCAAAAAATATTCCAGCATAATTTATTGGAGTTCGAATTTTTTATATGTGAGCTTCGAGTATAATATACTGGAGTTTTAGCATAATATACTGGAGTTCCAAATAATATACGGGAGTTCCAGTATAATATACTGGTCGAGTATAATATGTAGGAAGTTCGTACATAGGTGCTCCAATCTCCAGTATATTATGCTGGAACTTTCTGTGTATTAGAGTTTCAGCATAATATGCTGGAAGTTCATGCACATGTGCACCAATCTCGAGTATATTATGTTGAAACTTTTCGTGTTACAACAAAATAGTGGCTATTTTTTAATGAATTTGCAAACGCTGGTTATTTTTCAAGGGTGAATGACTCGAGTACCCACAAAAACAAAACTATTTACCCTTCACTACCCACTTACTTTTCTACACATCAAACTAATTATATTTCCTACCCGTGGTAGCTTTTGTGGGTAATTTCCTCTTTTTCCTCCTTTTTTTTTATTTCTCTGCTTCTTTTCTTTTTTCTTTCTTTCTTTTCTCCTTTTTCATATTTTTTCTTTTTTTCCCTTTTCTGTTCATTTATTTTTTGCCCAGACCCCACTAGTAGGATTTTACTGGTCGTCGTTGTTGTTGTTGTTATTTTTGTCCGGATCATATTATTATAACTATTATTACCATAATTTAATTTCACTCAATTTTGGCTCCTTCTTTATTTTTTGTATTTTTCTTTTTGTTCCTTTTGTTTATTTCCTTTATTTGTTGTTCCTTTTCTAATTTCTTTTAACTCATTCTTTTTTTTTTCATTTCTCTTCATAATCTAATTTTATTTATTTTTACTTTATTTCTCTTTTTTATTATTCTTCTTTTTTTATATAATAAGAAAAGATAACTTATATAGTAAATATTTGTTCTCCTTTTTTTAATACAACTATAATATACATTTTTTTGTTTAATTATTATAATAACTTATACATTATAACTATTTTCTTTTCTCTTTTATGATTTTATTTTTTATTTTATTTATTATTATTTCAAATCAATTTTTATTTTCTTTTTTACATAATCTAATTCTGCACACATCTTTTGCTCCTTTATTTTTGTTATTTTTATTTATTTGTATTTTTTATACATCAATTATTAGAAAATAACTTACTATAGCATATAGTATATCAAAAATAATAGATTATTAGCAGTTGAAGTATATTATTGCAGTATACTATGACATTCATATGCTATATATCATATACTAACATGGTATATGATATTGAGAACCTTGTTAGAAAATTGAAAAAGGGCTCATTGATTTTTTTTAATTTAAAATAATACCACATTCAACTATATTGTTACATTATACCATATATTAATAATATATTATTGCAATAAATTATACACTATTGAATTAAATATTATATACCAAAATGGTATATAGTACGTTACATTTACAAATTGATCTTCTATGCTAGCTCAACTCAATAACAACCTAAATTTAAAAAATTCGTTCTAGAATTTTCACCAAATTGACTCAAACCTTAGCCACAACCTCCAATCAAATATTTCAAACCAAATATTTTTTTTTAAGAAATATATTGAAAAAACATGAGAACTCTGTTGAAAAGTTGATAAGGAAATCAATAAAATTTTCAGAAAAATCTAAAAGGACCAAATTGTAATAGTACTGTTACATTATATGGTATACTATAACATTATATCGTACTGCTCCAGAGTACGTGTAGCAGGAGTCTGAACTCCTCCTCCAGCCTGAGAAGTGGCTGGTGCTACTGGAAGCAAACCCGCTCTAGTGACGCTCTCCACAAAGCCTACCAATCTGACCAGAGCGTGCTGAAGAACTGGGGCGGCTATGAACCCCTCTGGGACTTGAGCTGGGCCCACCGTAGCTGCTAGGGCTGGAACCTCCTCATCATCATCAACATGAGGCTCCACCTCTGGGACTGCCGCCCGGGGCTGAGCTCTGCCCCTGCCTCGGCCTCTGGCGCGGCCTCGGCCTCGCCCTCTGCCCCTCGTAGGAGCTGTTGCTGGGGGCTCGGGCTGCTGCGAGGTAGAAGAGGAAGCACGTGTTCTCGCCATCTGCAAAAGAACAGAGTAGAAAAACAATCAGTATTTGAGAAACAGAATCGCACGACAAGAAGGAACAAAAGAGAAATTTTCCTAACTCTGTAGCCTCTGGGGAATAAATACAGACGTCTCCGTACCGATCCCTCAGACTCTACCGAGTTTGTCTGTGAGTAGCGAGACCTATGTAACCTAGAGCTCTGATACCAACTTGTCACGATCCGGATTTCCCACCCTCGGGAGTCGTGATGGCGCCTACTAATAAGAGCTAGGCAAGCCAATTAATTTAATACTTCTCTCAACATCATTAACAGTATAAAGAAGAATGAGGCAATTAATATAAAAGCGGAAGTCTCGAAACATAAATAACTGAAACCAAGTGCGGAAATTCAAATACACTTCTACCCAGATCTGGTGTCACTAACTCACGAACTTCTACTAAATGCTAAATACAAAGTCTGAATAAGAATACAGTACTGTCTGATCCGATACAAAGAAAATCAAATGAAAAACAGAGATAAGAGAGACTCTGGGCCATGCGGACGCCAGCAAGGCTACCTCGGGAATCTCCGGAATGAAGTAAGCTCCCAACGCTCCTACTGCTGTTCAAAAGCTCCTGCTCCGGTACTATGATCTGTGCAAAAAGATGCACAGAGAGTAGCATCAACACAACCGACCCTATGTGCTGGTAAGTGCCTGGCCTAAACCCGCCGAAGTAGTGACGAGGCTAGACAGGACTACCAATCAACCTGTGCAGATATTTATATACAAGTACTACAAAAAAAATAATAGTGGAAAGTAACAATTAAGACTGGGAGGGGAGCATACTTTTGGGGATAACAGATAAAATAGAACGGTAGGAACAAATAAAGAAAACTACAACCAAATCTCTTCTAACACAGAATACGTGGTCGGCGTGCCACACGATCCCATTTCATGATATATAAGTGGTCGGCATGCCACACGATCCCATTTCATAGTATATAAGTGGTCGGCGTGCCACACGATCCCATTTCATATTATATAAGTGGTCGGCGTTCCACACGATCCCATTTCATATTATATATATAATGATTTCCCGGCAAGGGAACAAGTATCAATTCAACCATCCCGGCAAGGGAGCAACAACAATAACTTACACGTCCCGGCAAGGGAGTAATTACATCTCTTCCTCTTTTGTTCATTTCTTACGTCCTAATTATGTCATAATTTGAGCCAACGCTCCAAGGAATTTACAAATCATCTTTTCTCTTCATATTGTTCACATTATATCGAATCCATCAATTAAACAAGGAAGAGTCACCACGGAATCCCAAATAAGCACAAGTAAGGACTCACGGTCATGCTAGACACCGGTGTATAGATACTCGTCACCATACCTATACACCGTACTCAACATTTAGCAATTAGCAAACAATACTCTAATCCTATTCCCTCAAGCCAAAGTTAGATCAAACACTTACCTCGGCCCAAAGAATAGCAATCAATCCTTAAATACCGCCTTTCCTCTACAATCCGACTCCGAAACAATGATATCTAGGCATAATTAATTCAATAATATCAATAAAGACTCACTGGCAACATCCCATAGCCTAGATATGAATTTCCTAGCATTCTTCCAAAAATACCAAAAGTCGACACCGAGCCCACATGGTCCAAACACGAGGCTCGGACCACAACCTAGTCACCCATAACCCCACGAGTTCAAATATGCAATTTGTTTTAAGATTCGACCCCAAATTGAGGTTGAATCACCCAAAATTCTCAAAACCCTAACTCTACCCAAAACCCCTAATTCTACTTTGATTTCATGTTTTTAGGCCTAGGAATTCACTAATTAATAAAGAAAAACGAAGGAATTATGTGGGGAATTACTTACCCAAGAGGTCTTCATGAAAGGAAGCTTCAATGAATGCCTAAGGATCTTGGAGAAGAAGAAACTCGGATGTTTTTATGAAAATTTCGCGACTACACTGTTCTGAAACTTAAAAATATAACTGGGCAAAATTACCCTTCGCGTTCGCGGAAAGGGAGTCGCGTTCGCGAAGGGTTG